CACACGGACAGCGCTTGCGCTTGGTCCCCGTGTCTGCTCCAACACACGAGCACCGACAGATATAGCTTTGAGACTCCATAATGTACTAAATGTAAGACTGGGATGAGTGTTGCCGCCTTCGTTTAGCTGGGTCAGAGCGTTGATCGTACTATTTGCGACACTATCGCTCTTACCCTGTAGTAAAAACGCGTGGCATGCATTCTGAGCAGGAAAAAAAGTTTTCTCTTGCGTACCACCCAGAGCGAAGCGGCTCAAATGGGACAAGCCACACGGAAGCAATAGCATAAATGGTGTAAAGGCACCCTCCAGACACTCGGTGGGACAAGGTTACTGACGAAACCTTGCAATTTAAGCTAGAGAACTGCTAGCAGTCTCAGTTTTGCCTAGGACAGTTGCGATGCCTCCAAGAACAAGCGTGTCCAAGAAGTCTGGAGAGAACAAATTGCCTGAAAAAAAATCTGCTTGCAAACGGTTTAATTTGCCTGTGCCGCAAGATTATGTGCCACCACTAAAAAGGCGCCGTGAAGCTCGGCGTGAAGCTGTCTCGCTGAAGGCGGAGAGGAAAATCGCGACAGCGCAAGGTAGATTCTATTCATTGAGACGATTTGTTATCATTTTGCTTGTTTGTGCTAACAGACTGATATTGATGTAGAGCTGCGAGCGTATGCGAAACAAACCAAGGATCATAATGAGGTTGTCTTGATCTACGGTCGTTTTCTGTGGGACTCTTACCACACCACCACACAAGGGAGACATATTGTACGTCTGCATCTTTACGATGCAGTTACTGACGATGCCGTTGAGGACTTATTGGAGGTATGTGCATGTGCCAAAAGTATTTGTGACAAAGATATGATACCTATGGTTACTGTACCTACTTGGTCCTTTGTGGAATTTCAAGAATTACAAGTATGATGGTGATCACTGCTTCGACTCAGACAAGGAGTTGATGACAGCTACGTTATGGGACGAAGTCAAGGGCTGCAACGGAGTCCCGACGCCCGGTGATATCGTGTGCATTTCACGATTTACTGGTTTGGACGTGTTTCGAGGAGAAGCTTGTCAGTTCAACACTAAACTGTCTGGCATTAAAGTCGAAGACTTTGGCCAAAAGGAGGGCAGTGACAAAGAAAAGGGCCGTGCACACGATGGGCAAGATTAAGGACTTGGACCAAGATGTTCCGTGTTGCATCAAACATTTGAATTCAAGCGAGAACCATTTCTCCATCAGTAAAACTGTTTAGTTTGCTCACGTTTCTTATAGCAGCTTTTGAGGTTGTGAGTTTGTAGTTTGTAGTAAGGCTGGTTATTGATTTGTTGATGAGGCTTAGGTTTTAACCTATAGAGTATTTATGTAAATATGAAATTTGTTCTGCTTTACTTTGGCTAAGATTGCTTTGTTGGATACGTTTAGGACAGGAAACCCAATATCAGTTGTGTCTGCTAACTCGGGCTGTGCGAGCTCAGCATGCCACCCATCCTTGGATAAGGTTAGGTTTCTAGGGTCCGTGGTTTTGTGCTGCTTTACTTTGGCTAAGATTGCTTTGTTGGATGCGTTTAGGACAGGAAACCCAATATCAGATGTGTCTGCTAACTCGAGCTGTGCGATCTCGGGCTGAAAATTAAAGGCTATGGATAGAGCATGCAGCTATGCCTCACAGGCAAGCCAAGTGGCCTTCTTTACTAAACTCTCTATTGTAGTGTCAGTGATAATGTCACTATTAACACACATTGCCTGTAACAGCCCGCACTTTATGGCTGATCCGCACGGATCTGAGTCCGCCTATGTTGGCCCAACATCATATCTTCTGGTAGTGGAGCACATTTTACCCTAGAATGAGCCGTTGTCCCACTTTATTTAGTTTGTTT